TCTTGCTCAGTACCGGCATGCTGGCGGTACTCCGGTACTCATGCACCGTGCCAGTACTCAACACTCTCCCGCCGTTCTTATTATACATCCATATATATATATATATATACAGCCGCCCTGTACTCAGTAGATGCGTCATGAGGTGCCGAACGGACATTCTCATCGCTCTAACCGCTGGAGTTTCACAGCGGCTGTCAGCTGTTTACTCCTGTCATTCAAACAGAACGTGCTGGAGAGGGGGCGGGGCTTATATTCTCCATGTAAATACTGTGGTGGAAACGACTATGTCAAAATTAACCTATTTGACCGTGATTTAATAGTAATACACGTTTAAAAATAATAATAATAATAATAATGCCGAAGTAACAACATACTGAAAACTGTTAGTAAAACCATGTTTTAATGCTTTACAATTGACATACCTAGATGCACGTGTGTTGTGTTTATGCAGTGCAACTCCCACCCAGTGGGTGGCTATGTAGAGTGATAGAACAGAGCAGGCACGCCCCCGAGAGAAGGAAAGCAAGTCACGTCACAAATTAGCATTTCTAAATGTTAGCGTGGATTAATAAAAGTACAAAAGACCAGCGGTTGTCGCCGGAAGAAACTTCAAATACAGAGAATGCTGTGCCTGTGTTGGAAATTGTGTCTGATGGGAGCTTTCTTTGGTTGATCCTCCTGCTCCAAGTTCTAGTGCATTAGCATTAGCACTAGCTCCGCCGCCTCCTCCAGAGCCTCTAACGTTAGCTGCTGCTGGCGCAACTGCCACCACCAACACCGGGCAAAGCGATGCACCTGACTGCTGGACAACGGACCAGGTGCAATATTTTTGCAAGACCAATGCATGGCTCCTTCTTAAAGATAAGAAGCTAGGATGTCTGATATGCAGAGATGTCAAATCTTTGGGAATACACACTGGACAAGGACTGAAACTGTCAACTGAATGGGGTGAGTGTGCAGTGTCTCATTTCGGTGTTGACAAGGGCAAACAACAAGCTAGCCTGAGAAAAAAAAATCAAAGAACATAAAGAATCACAAGCCCATGTAAAAGCTGCTGACATCCTTACATCTGCTTCATGTGAAACTATTCAACATCAAGTGCAGTCTATGCATAAATCTGAATTAGACACCACTATCAGAGTTTTTCGAACGGCATATAAAATTGGCAAACATAGCCGGCCATTCACAGACATGCCAATTGATTTGAATGTACAGAAACTGAATGGGCTGAACGTGGGCAGGGTTTTGCACTCCAATAAAACCTGTGGCGAAATCATCGACCACATAGCTCATGAGCTGAAGAAAAAAATGGCAAAAGACATTACAGAAAACCAAAGAAAACTCTGTGTTTTGGTCGATGAATCTACCACTATTAGTGGTAAACGGTGCTTGTTGTGTGTCTACGCTCAGCATTAGCTGATGCTGAGCCCGAAACGTTTTTTTGGGAGCTGATCGAGTTGGATGGAACAACGGCTGATGACATCACCAAGGCGTTAATGGAGTGTCTTGGAAGAGATTTTAACGAGGACTTTTTAGGTCAGTGTTTCGTTTCTTTTGCATGTGATGGGGCTTCAGTCATGCTAGGGAAGAGAACAGGCGTTGCTACCCAGTTGTGTAGTAAATTCCCAAGCCTGTTTGTGTGGCACTGCTCCAATCATCGTCTAGAGCTGGCAGTTGGGGATGTGGTCAAGGAGGTCTCAGGGCTCAATCATTTCCAGATCTTTTTTGACAAACTCTATTCCTTGTTCCATGCCTCCCCCAAAAATCAGAGGCAGTTAGCGCAGTGTGCGCAAGCAGTCGGACAGCGTCTCCTGGTGATAGGGCGTGTTTTGTCCATCCGCCGGGTGGCTTCAAGTGAAAGGAGCGTCAGAGCAGTCTGGGAAAACTACCGAGTGCTTCATGATCACTTCACAAATGCTGCAAACGACACGAGCAGGGATTCCAGAGACAGAGCAAAGTACAAGGGCCTGGATGATGTGCTCACATCTGCAACGTTTGTCAGCAATCTGGGACTGATGTACGATGCGCTCACAGAGCTCAGCGACCTCTCTCTGCAACTCCAAAAAAGAGAGATGACACTGCCTACAGCAGATAGGCTCTTAACTCGAGAAATACGAGTTTTTGAATCCATGGTCACCATGCCTGGCCCACACATGACTACAGTTCATACAGCTCTAGCTGAGAAGTCCTTCAAGGGTGTTGCCCTGCGTGAGAATGGCAGGCTTGTACAGATTCATGCAGGTCAGTTTTTCCGCAGTATGGTAGAGAATCTGAGACACAGAATGACTATCACAACCTCCTCTCATGTCAGCACAAGAGAAATCCCATTACATGGCCGGGAGGCCCGGGACAATCAGCTAATCCAGGACATGAAAGTTATCCATCCTGGAAGTTGGCCTGAAGAGGAGTTAGACGTACAGTATGGGGACGTAGAGGTGCTACGTTTGTGCGAAGTGCTGAAAGTGGACAGAAGAGAGACTGTTCAGGGCTTTCGCGAATACAAGGAAACCAGGGCATCCCGTACACCTGCTGCCATGGAGCCTCTACTGAAAGCAGTCCGAACCATCGCTGTCTCCACTAGTGAGTGTGAGCGGGCATTCAGCTGCATGAACGATATCCTTACTGCAAAAAGGAATGCTCTCTCTGTCAGCCGACTGTCCAGCCTGGTTTTCATTAAATGTAATGGACCATCACTAGGACAGTTCAATCCGGAACAGTATGTGAGGTCCTGGCTGGCAAAGGGAAGGAGAAGTGCTGATGAAAGAGCCTGTCCAGCTCCAGCCCCTGATACTGATGTCCCCAAGGCCTTCTGGAGCCTTTTCTAACAATGTGAAGTATATTGCAAAGCAGCTCACCCAGTGAGAAGACTTTTGGCATAATGTGCCGATTTGTACAGATCCTGGAGATAGAAGGACTTCAGACCAACCAGGGAGTTATCTGATCAGCTTGGTGTTCAATGTAACTCTTTACCATGGCTCAGACTTTGTTACTTGCAGTTACAGTTTCTCATTTTAGATTGTGCACATTTTGCATTTGTTTTTACATGTTCTTTGTTCATGCTCTTTATCATTTTTCTGAGTTGGAAAGTTAGATTGCATCATAGTTTACTTTATACATATTTGTATTCTTCAGTGGTGAAGTATATTGCAAAGCAGCTCAGCCATGTGAGAAGACTTTTGGCACTTTTTCGTTTTTCGTTTTCTGAGTTGGAAAGTTAGATTGCATTCAAAATGTACAGAAATACTTAATTTTGTTAAAGCTTTTTATAAAAAATGCTTCTGACCAGAGCTTTGTTTCCTTGTCATTAATGTTGAACACCACCAGAGGGGCTCTCACCTGAAAGGTCTCTGCTTCATGTGTCTTCAGCAGAAGATCTAGACTTTGATTGCTATATTTTCAGTTAATATTGACCTTACTGAGCTTTAGCCATATCCACTGCCTATCATAAAAAATGTTAAGTACAGTGAACCTTTCTAAAATATACAGTAGTAAAGAGACAAACCCACCAGCATTATAGTAGCCAAATTCTTGTTTGTGGGCTGTATATATAAAATTGACTTGAAAAAGTTGCTGATTTTAGAGTACTGGCACCTTTTTCATTCCAATTCAAGCACTGTATATGGATGTATAATAAGAACGGCGGGAGAGTGTTGAGTACTGGCACGGTGCATGAGTACCGGAGTACCGCCAGCATGCCGGTACTGAGCAAGAAGTGCCGGTACTCCATGGGTCAGAACCAGAAGTGCCGGTACTGCGTACCGGTGAGTACCGGCCCAATTCCAGCACTGGTTCTACATCCTGACACATCCTTCATCTACACTGTCTCAACGGATATTATATATATTTTATTATATTAAAAATATAATAAAATGTGGAGACTTTGGGATATTATCTCCCATTCTTTTACTTTTCTGGGCATTTTACAGACCAGACATGTCGTTGATGTCACTGTTTACCAAACTACCACTTTTTCTGAAAAATGCATAAAATGATGCAATATATGTTAAATACATGGTTTTATACATGTAATTACTGGGGTTCCATTTCCTCTGATTACCTAATTTGGGCATGCACATTTGCCGCGCGCAAACCTCCCTCTTTTGGATTTGGAAAGGTGTATGGGAGACACTTAAAGTGAATACAGTAAAATGTGTATCTAATAACGTCATCACAATCGCCACATTGATATGCAAATTAGGCGTTAACTAGGCCTAATTAATATGCGCTAATTTGCATGCAGTTACCAAGGCATTGCATGTGAAAAGGATAAAACAAAAAAACACATCACAACTTCCCCAGATAGTTACTTAGGTCAAGTCAGTATTTTCCCCTGAAATGTTATGTTTAAATGCAGATTAGCTTTAAATCTATATATGACTTCAGACATGGTAGTAAAACGAACATCATTTATATGGGTTTCTTGGAAGTTTTATTTCCATTAGAGTGAAAGAAAACATGGAAGCAAAATAGACCAAAATAAGTACATGAAAAAAACGATATTTTTGCCTGTAATTGTCCTTAAACAGTAACTTCATAATTTTGATTGTTGGCTGCTCATTTAATAACTAATAATTGTACTAGTTTGTTGTCTGCTCTTGTGCGTAGTGAATACTAAAGAAGACCATTGTCTCTGTGTTAGCTGATTATTTTGTAAAATTATGTTGAGTATTAAACAATTGCGTGAGTGTGAGGGTATTAAAATAAATTGGTCAGTAAGTCAGAGATGTGCAACTATATTTAACTTTTTGTTTTAAAACATTTTTTTATAAATGATTATGGGAAGTGCCCTTTTTCTCACTTGAGCACCCCGCCCCCCCAAAAAATGTCTGTGCACGTCACTGGATGGCAATGTTATTGAACAGTAGCATCTGAAGCTGCAGACTGAGGACTTTTCTTTGTCCCAGCATTATGACTGAGGGCGCACAGGGACAGCCTACAGGGGGGGGGGGGGCATTATATTTGATGGAGTAATGACGTTTCTTATCAGCCATCCGCACTGCTGTCACAGCTCGGTTGCCCTGTCTTGGGTCTTTGTCATGCACATGCGTGCACAAGAAACGGTTACCAGCTACAACAAGAAATCAAGCATAACAAGGCATCAACCAGGTTTCTATTAATGCCTGCCTCCACTCGAGGAAACCGGGTTACTCTAAGAATGTATGTAAAAAGATTAAAACGACCCCGTTACTTCCCTTAATGTAACGAACACATTGTTTCTTTAGCCCCATCGGAGTTAACATGGCTCTCCATCCAGACACAGACAACAACACTACTACCAACCAACCAATCAATCAGATCTCTCTCTGTCGCCACCGCGGAAATAAACGACCAATCAGCTATCAGAGTGCTTCCAGTGATAAGGGCCTGAGGACTAATCAGCTGTCTGTCTGGATCTTCTGGGGAAACGAACAGCCAATCAGCAGTCTGTCTGGTCGACACGGAGTGACTGCCTGGCCAATGAGCGGTGTGTCTAGCTGCACCGAGGGGTGAGCGTCTGCCGAGGCCCAATCAGCGGCTCAGTGCTGCCTGCCGGTGCCGGAGACTGGTGGTGAGGAGCCGCTGCAGCGCGTCAGGACCGGACCGTGAACCCGGAGACGGTACACACTGAGGCGAAAAGAGACACAGGTGAGTCCGAGGATGTGCGCGAGGCCCTGCTCCGGCGGGAGATGTTTTGAAACGGCAGCGGCGGGATTGGTGTTGCGGCAGGACGGCTAGCTGTTGTGTCGTTTTCCTCCCGGTGGATATGCTGATAGACAATAGAGCGGCTTTGCTTTGCTATTTATTGATGCGGGCTGACATGTTGGCGACCAGCAGCCGTCGCCTCGAACTGTTCATTTGCATTTAAAGGTCTGGAGTCGCAGCAGAAACATTATGGGATATCTTAAATTGCCCGGCTTGTTGTGTTTTGATAAAAGCTAAAGTGGTAACGGATATCTCGTGATTACATTGTGATGGGAACGTTGTGCGGAATGCCTCCAATCCGTTTCATTGTTTGATCCGGAGTCTCTAGGGGTTAACTCCGACTGGAGAAAGAGCCTCCGAATACTTGTTAAAGAGCGCCGGGATTATATGAGACGTTTGAATGCTTTTATTGAAGCAGAGCTGCGTGAAGTGGCGGATTAAAACACGCGAGCAGGAGGCCGGGGTCGCTGATGGCTCTCAGCAATTAGGTAGAAAAATTCGAAATGCATCAGCCATTTACGTAGACTCAACTGGCTCCATATGCACCTCAATGGCTGCCTGGCGCTGACAGCATAAGCAACACTTCACTGTAAGGCAAGGCGGTATGCAGGCGGCTGCTTGTTCCTGATCGGAGGATTAACGGAGGGAGATGTCTACATGACGTTAGAGACCAAATGGAAATCAATATTTAATGTGTGCTGCCTATTATTCTGCAGTATACAGGACCTCATTTCGTGTCTGCTGAGAGAATTGTTCTCTCCTCTGTTGCTGCACTGCTCCTCAAGATGTACATGAGTCACATGCAGATGGATTCTCATGCATATGACTGCTTGTCTTTGTGTTTGTGTTGCACATTAACGTCAATAGGCTGTGCACAGATGGAGGTGGTTATATGAGGTGAAGAGACACGGTGTGTTAGCTTCCTCCATTATGAATAATATTTACAACGATTACTAATGTTCAAGTTTTTCGTGAAGAAACATTGTAGTTATGTCATTTACACACGTTTTTGAAAGTGCAATACTATTGGTCTGTTGGAGTAAAAAGTTGACAGACAGCAGGATAATGGTCACTTTGTGCCATGTAACCTTACACTTTCCTCTGCACTTTGAAACAGCTGTTTGTTCTGAGTCCTGTCTCCTCTGTAGAACAGGCAGAGCGCTTTTCTCACACATGGCATTTAATAGAAGGGTTTTCATATGACACAGAATTTAGGGACCAGTGTTGAAACCTGTGTGGAAGGACTGTGGTTGTGGAACAGTTGGCAGACCTTGCTACACTCAGCCCTCCACTCACATAGTGATAGTGGGTCTGTATGAATGAAAGGTCCCTGCTGTTGAGGAGTGTGAATGAACTGTAGTATTCTCAATGATGGAGTCCTTCCTCTTCCTATTTCCAGCTCACAGTCCCTCACCAGCGGCAGCAGCATACAGATGCTGCCATGACACATGTTACACTATTCACCTCCAGAGTGTAGGCTTTGATGAATATGCAATTAGGCTTTAATCCTCCTTCAGCTAGTCGTTATAGAAACAATGCACATTGTGATAATATAGTTACTACCATGTGTAGAAGCAATCTGATGTCCTGCTACACAACATAAACACTGTTAAGATGTTATTCAAGGAGGCAGTCGACATAACTTTGTCATGGTGAACTAAATGTTCCTTCACAAAAATATTGTTGGCGGTCTATTTGCAAATGTGCATTTCCATTGAGGGAAATCAGATGATGTTGTTTTGACTGTTGAAAGGACTTAAAGTAGCTGAACATCAAATATCCATGACTAAACAAACAGATTGCAAGATGAAGTTAATTTGTTTTAATATTTTGCGTAATAATGATCTTCAAACCCTGATTAGTGCATAGAAGTATAACGCCACTGCATGTTTCCCAGCTGAGCCATATCGTTCTTATTGTGTACTTTCAAATTTGTATAAAATGAACAGCATCGTCTGAGCAATTTGTATGTCCAAACCCATATCAAGGAGAGATGACTTGAAGTCATCGAGTTAAAACCTAAAACATGACATTTCCTCATCCAATTATGAATAATGTGATTTCTGATGCAGGATCATAATACACAGCAAAGCTTAAGAATGCTCTGGTTTCAAGCAGTGTGTAATGTTGGACATGTACAGGACATACCTGGACCCCCCCCCCCCCCCCCCACACACACACACACACACACACAAAGGGCAGTGTCAGTGTTGAATGGTTGGCGGTGACATGGTTCCTCAGCGCTCCATGAGCAGTTCACCTGGCAGGGGGAAACAGGAAGTAGCATGTGGTGGTGGTGGTGATGAATCCAGCTTTCTTTACCCGTACACAGGTGTAAACCAGGTCCAAATGATTGCACTGAATTCACAAGTGAACACAATGGCGGTTTGCAAACATGCCTCTGTTTGGTGTTTTGCATATTTTATGAGCAAAAATGTCCAACTAGGGCAGCAGCAGCTCAGTCTGTAGGGACTTTGGAACCAGAGGGTTGCGGTTCAAATCCCTGAACAGACCAAGTATGGAGTAGTATTTGGAGAGGTTCACCTCACGGCTGAGGTGCCCTTGAGCAAGGCACTCCCCGGGCACTGTGTGTATAATGGCTGCCCACTAATTCCAATGCCATGAAGGGTTAAACGCAGCAGCTTGATTAACCGTGTGTGCTGTGTACATGTACATATCAGAAGTCCTGCAGCGGGGACATTTACAGCGTTACAGCAGAAGTGACATAGCAGTAAACATAGAGAAAAAACACATTAGTAATCAAATGAAAATAAAGACAAATAGATTCTTATCCATGGTATGAACCTATTTAGGTTTTGAGGTATTATAACAATTATTATGATTATTGCACAGCAGAATTGCAAAAATGTTTTTGCTCAAATGAATCATAGTATGAAAAGATGATGTTTTCCTTCCCACCAAGGCCAGAGTGGATAAGGCTGGAAAGCAACCTTTTTGTGGGATTCTCAAACAGCATGTGGATCCTCCGAGGTCAGAATCTGACACCGACGGCCCCTACACACGGCGGCGTGCGTTGAAGCTTGCCGGTGAGCGTGTCTGAAACTCGACCAACAACCAATCACATGAATCTCCCACCCCTGACACACAAGCAGCGGTTTGATTGGCTAGAGCTTGTACTGGCATATGATTGGATTGGCTGACGCTTCCGCCGAAGCTTCAAAAGTTGAACATTGCTCTACTTTTGCAGCGAGCAACGCGAGCAAAAGCTACGCTTTGCTCCCACAATGCAGTTCGGCGAAGCGTGACGTCACCCCATTCAAAGTGAATGGGCAGAAGCGTTGAAGCTTCAACGCACGCCGTCGGTGCAGCCAGGTGGAGGCACTCAGAACACTCAGCGCTTGGACCGCTCTTCAGGTGGCTGTGGCCAACAAGAACCAGGGTTAAATGTTCCAAAAGATGAACTTGAATCTAGACGGGAACAAAATCCAAGATCTCACTGGCTGCTGTGGTTTCTGTCCTTTCAAAGTAAACGGTTGCCAAAAAATGCATCGCAATGAAAAAAGAAGGAATTTAAATTGGTAATGTGCAGAATTAATGAATATAAATTGCAAAATGCCCCTTCCATAACATTTGCCAGAAATGGTGTAAGGCCTGGCACCCGTGTTGTGGGTTCGGGGGGGGGGGGGGGGGGGGCTGTACTGCACAGCTCAGAGGGCATGAGATTAGCTGGTCCACCTTTTTAATGGACAAACAGTGATTTTCCGCCCAAAAGACGGTGTGTAGGGCCCTGGGATTCTGTCCTGCAGTCGGCATGGTCAAAAGTGGAGCGGCTACGAGCTAAAGGCTAACATCTGCTCAGTGTGTTTCTCTGATATCCTAAGATCTAATCGCTCAGCTGCAAATTGTCCATATAACCAGGGCTGCACATAACTGGTGCGCAGGTGCGCATGCGCACCTCCACCAAAAAAAGAGCACCGGGTCATTTGAAAAAAAGTGCATTTGCGTACCAACATTGAGAGAGGGAGAAGAGAAAAGAGAGGAGAGAGAGAGAGAGAAAGATATTTGCGAGTTGCATATGAACTCAGGGCCGGCCCGTAGCACTGGCGTTATAGATGTTCGCCTAGGGCGCCAGATCTGTGGAGGCGCTGCGCTGGCAGCTCTGAGAGGGAAAAAAACATTTTTGACCGTTGGGGCTCATCCTAATTTTCGGCCTTGATGTAACAATATTCATAATTAAGTAAATGTAACACCCTTTTCACCCCGGTTACACTTTTCATTTGCCCTGTACGATGGGCGCTGTAAGTGATGAAAATGGGGGATGTTGGCTTATCTGGCGCCCGCAGCTCACAGCCAAAGTGCGAGTGAGCGTGGGAGAGAGAGAAGGGCGCACCGCCCGGTGTTGTTATTAGAATCTGGTGCTAGCTGCTCTAACGGATATAAGAAGAAGATGTTTCTACAATAATGTGGAGGGAGAGTCCTCTCCAGTCAGACTGAGAGGCTGATACTACAGCTCAGTGAGGTAAAGGACTCTGAGTGTTTAGATAGTTCACTTTAGTCTAAGTTCAAACAGTTTGGTCACAATTTATGTAAACACATATTTCCAAGGCACTCCTTTATAATTATTGGGATAAACAGGTTTGAAATAATTCCAATGCATACAGTAACCAAAAATATCCTTTAAAACTGGAGAGATACACAAAAAAATGCATTTAAATAAGATATGAATGAACAACACAAATAAAATAAGTTACATTAATTTGTTATTAGCTATGGTAGGTTATTGGTTATGTTCACATACTTATTTGAGTACATCCACTTGTCTAAGATGACAACAGAGACTTTCGACCCAAAACCAGCTGTTGACTTGTGGATGCAAGCAGCTAATCGCAGACTCAACCAGAGAGGAAGAAGTAGGCCTACATCATCAGCTACCATGTCTGACAGAGAGGAAGACAGTGAGGAGAACAGTCAGGAGGGTAGTG